TATGTGCAGATGAATGAACCGTACTTAATCCAATGAATTAAAGAATCCAAGTTTTCAGGAACCCGCCGAAAGCCAAAAATTGGCGGAGCCAGGATTTGAACTCTGGGCCTCCCAATGTCCGGTCGGGTGTGCTAACCACTACACCACTCCACCTTAACTTTCTGGCGTTTCCTACCTGTCTTATTAATGCACAAGAAACGAAATGTGTCCAATCGGAGGTGTTCTGGAAAGACACGCCGCCGCGTGGAACGCGGTACGACGCTTAGTGTCACGTGGTACGTGCTCGTTTGTGCTCCAGAAATCCTCCCACTGTTTGTCTCGCCCCGTGTACATGTAGTATTCTTTGTTTATGAGCTTTTAGAGACACGGTATCATCATCATCTGCGAGAATCAAGAGCCACGTTATTGAATATACAACACGGGCACTTCACGTCATCGTACGTGGTCTCCGAGGGGGATATAAACGAATATGTGCAGATGAATGAACCGTACTTAATCCAATGAATTAAAGAATCCAAGTTTTCAGGAACCCGCCGAAAGCCAAAAATTGGCGGAGCCAGGATTTGAACTCTGGGCCTCCCAATGTCCGGTCGGGTGTGCTAACCACTACACCACTCCACCTTAGCTTTCTGGCGTTTCCTACCTGTCTTATTAACGCACAAGAAACGAAATGTGTCCAATCGGAGGTGTTCTGGAAACACACGCCGCCGCGTGGAACGCGGTACGACGCTTAGTGTCACGTGGTACGTGCTCGTTTGTGCTCCAGAAATCCTCCCACTGTTTGTCTCGCCCCGTGTACATGTAGTATTCTTTGTTTATGAGCTTTTAGAGACACGGTATCATCATCATCTGCGAAAATCAAGAGCCACGTTATTGAATATACAACACGGGCACTTCACGTCATCGTACGTGGTCTCCGAGGGGGATATAAACGAATATGTGCAGATGAATGAACCGTACTTAATCCAATGAATTAAAGAATCCAAGTTTTCAGGAACCCGCCGAAAGCCAAAAATTGGCGGAGCCAGGATTTGAACTCTGGGCCTCCCAATGTCCGGTCGGGTGTGCTAACCACTACACCACTCCACCTTAGCTTTCTGGCGTTTCCTACCTGTCTTATTAACGCACAAGAAACGAAATGTGTCCAATCGGAGGTGTTCTGGAAACACACGCCGCCGCGTGGAACGCGGTACGACGCTTAGTGTCACGTGGTACGTGCTCGTTTGTGCTCCAGAAATCCTCCCACTGTTTGTCTCGCCCCGTGTACATGTAGTATTCTTTGTTTATGAGCTTTTAGAGACACGGTATCATCATCATCTGCGAGAATCAAGAGCCACGTTATTGAATATACAACACGGGCACTTCACGTCATCGTACGTGGTCTCCGAGGGGGATATAAACGAATATGTGCAGATGAATGAACCGTACTTAATCCAATGAATTAAAGAATCCAAGTTTTCAGGAACCCGCCGAAAGCCAAAAATTGGCGGAGCCAGGATTTGAACTCTGGGCCTCCCAATGTCCGGTCGGGTGTGCTAACCACTACACCACTCCACTTTTTTTTTTTTTTTTTCTTTTTTTTTTTTTTTTTTTTTTTTAATTAAAAGTATGTTTATTTACAAAGTTTTAAAATGATCACATTGGTTGCCATACACTTATCATGTCAGTGAGCACTGTTTGACAGGCGAGGACCGCGATTCACACACAAATTCAAAATGTATCTCGCTCAATCATTTCTCTGTAGCGTCACATGCACCCCAAGCAGCCACTCGCGCAGCGGCCCGGGAATCCTTGTTTACCACTGAGCCTTTAGAGCGCGGTTATGCATACGCGTTCCAAATAGCGACCAACATTCAAGCCCTTGTTGTTCCGTCGCCTCAAGAAGGCTGCTCACGTACAGAAAGCCGTCGCAGAAGTGTTGCCAGGCGGGCTTGGATCCCTCTCGGACCTCCAAGTGATCCGTCCTCGACCGCCACAGCGCATATAGACCGAGGAGTGCCAGCAGCTCCCATGCCCTACTCTGTGCACTGTCGCCGAAAAGCAGAAATTTCGCCCTCTTCCACTCTACGTAAAGATCTATCTGCAGCACTGCTCGAAGCTCTGCCCAAAAAAGCTCCGCATTCGTACAGTACAAAAACACATGTTCAAGTGTTTCGGGAAACGGACACAACGCACAATTTGTTGACCACGGTTCAAAGAAACCTTTTTTAACCAGCCACGTCTTGACCGGCAGTACTTCGAAATGGAAGCGTAGGAAAAAATTCTTGACTGCCGTTCTGACAGGGTATCTACGTAAGCGACGATATACATCCGATTTATCCACACTTCCCGGAAAGCTGCGATAGAGTGGGGGCGGTATGAGCAAATCAACTGTGTCCCAGTATAGAGATTTCTTTTTAACTTTCTGCAGGTACTCGTCGGAAAAGCGGGCTCGGAAAAATTCCTTCGCCGCTGCTGTTTCCTGGTAAAACTTCAGAGCACGTGCTCGGAAGTCTCCAGTGTCCCCCTTGAGCCGCGGCCCCAAAACGCTTCCTCCCAGCTCCTTAAACGCAGAAATCACGAGAGGATTGCCTTGATCGCGGAAAAATAGGAAACGCTGTACTTTCAGCTTAAGTTCTACGTTTACGAGGCCCAACCCTCCTTTCTTCTGGCTTACAAATAGGTTGTCACGCCTCATACGTTCAAAACCCGAGTCCCAGATAAACGTTGCGAAAAATCGATGCACCTTCGCCACGTCACTTTGGGAGCACGGCAACACTTGTGCCGCGTACCAAACGGTCGGGAAAAAAACAGAGTTACAAATAAATGCGCGATTGAACAAAGAGAGTTCCCTAGCATGCCAGTCAAGCACCTTACTTCTGAGGCGATTAATGTCCAAACCACCGCATCGGCCACTCAGTTTCTCTGCGGTCAAACTGAGCCCTAGGTAATTCGAAACGCTCGTCGTCCAGGTGACACCGAGGAACTGCTCCGGTTTCAAGTCCCAGTCTCCAAGCCAGGCTCCGACAGATTTGTCTGTGTTCATCGCCGCACCCGAGACACTGCAGAAGTCTGCGATGTGTTGGGTTACAGCGCGCACTTGCATCCTTGACGAGCACAACACCGTGACGTCATCTGCGTAGGCGAGCACTTTCAGCGTACCCGACGCTAGGGACAGCCCACGAATGCTCGCGTCACCGATAATGGCCCTGCACAACGGTTCCAGGTACAATGCGAACAGAATTGGCGACATCGGGCAGCCTTGTCGCACGGATCGGGTAACTGCAATGGGAGCCGTCCTGTTGCCGTTGACCAGGAGCCGCGTCGTGATGTGACGGTAGCACAGCTGCACATATCGTAGCAGTCGCACCCCGATCCCACACTCCTCCATGAGCCGGAAGAGGAACGAATGGCGAACCCGGTCGAAGGCTTTGCTCAGATCTACCTGAAGCACTGCCACTGGAACCTTCAACACCTGCGCTGCCTCGCACACGATTCGCATCGCGTGCAGGTTGGTGCTGATGGTCCGTCTCTTGATGCCGTAGGCCTGATGCTCTCCGACGACGTCCCGTAGACCCCACTCCAGCCGCTTTGCCAGAATCTTGGCTAGGATTTTATAGTCGCTTGTTAGCAGACTGATGGGCCGGAAATGGTCGACCTTCGGGGTACCCTTTGAGTTTTTCTTCTGGATGAGCACCGTTACCGCCTGTCGCATGGATGGTGGCAGCAGTCCTCGCTTCAGTACGTCGGCGTACACGTGTCGTAGGATAGGACACAGCTGGGCTGAGAACGTCTTGTAGAACTGGCTACCGAGCCCGTCCACTCCTGGCGATTTGCGCGGAGCTAATTCCTTGATGGCTTCCTCGACCTCTGATGCCGTTATTTTCCGGTTCATTTGTTTTCGGACCTTTGGGGATATCTTGGGCAGCGCCACTCCAGTAGTTTGGATAACGCCGTCGTCCTCCACTCTCGTGAACAGGTCGGTGTAGGCCTGCAAAAACGCGTCTTCGATTTCCTCTTGCCGGGTAACCTCGACGTCGCCTACTTGGAGCTTCCCGATCTTGTTGCGTGAAGCGTGCTGGCGTTCCTTCGTCTTGAATATTTTGCTCGGCTCTTCATCTCTCTCGAGGAACAGCGTTCTGCTTCGGACCATGGCACCGCGGTACTCCTTCTCGAGAAGCTCCAGAATATTGCCTTTGCAATCGCGGATATCTTGACTGAAGAGTCCCGGGGAACGATTTTCCTCTGCGATGAGGATTTCCAGGGTCTTCATCAAGCGGCGCTTTTCCGCCCTTTCGCGCGCCGCTTTTTCCTGGCTGTGCCGGAACGCTTTGAGCTTGACGTCCTCTTTCAGCTCCTCCCAGGTTACCGCGTTCATGGGCGCACCTCCCGTTTTGCCCTCGAGAAGCTCCTTTATCTGCGTGCGCAGTTGTTCGTCTTCGATGAGGCTTTCGTTTAGCTTCCAGCTACTCCACCAAGAGGACTTCCGGGTTCGCGGCACGGGTCTGCCCAGCGTTACCGTGACCAGAGCGTGGTCCGAGAACGCCAAGGGTAGGACTTCTAGCACAGGCGTCATTGCTGAAAATTCTCCCGAGAGGTAAATACGATCCAGTCGAGCATGGCAATTTCCTTGCCAATGCGTGTACGTTGGGTCGGCTGTTTTCTCGTTGTCCTTAGCATCCACCAGGTCGAAGTCGCGGAGCAGTTTTCGCAGTTCCAGCCGGCTGACGTCCGCTCTCAGCCGCTTTGAGCAATCCCTCTCGGCCAGCACACAATTAAAATCACCAGCGAGGATCGTTCGACAAGGTGTGTCGAGATACTGGCGAAGATTTTTGAAAAAGTCCCGTCGCTCAGTCGCGTCATTAGGTGCATACGCAGATACAAGCCTGTGAAGCTGTCCGCAGTGCAGCATTTCTACAGCGCACACCCGTCCGTTTCTGTCTCCCTCCCAATCGGGGCAGATTGCGATGTTTTTCTTCTTGCGAATCATTATCGCCGTTCCTCCGCTCTGTTCAAATGCCCTCGACAGGAAGATGACGAAGTGACGATCAAAAAAGCGCGTCAACTCCTCCACTTGACCGTCTGTGGCAATCTTGGTCTCTTGCAAGAAAGCGACATCAACCCGCTCGCGCAGAATCGTGTCCAGCACCCATTGCTTTCTTCTTCTCGCCAGAAGACTTACACAATTGAGGGTTGCAAACTTAAGGGCTCGCATATTGTGGAAAAGGGGGTGCTGGTAAAGTCATGCGACGAGGACACTTTCCAGAGATGAGTAGTGAGCAGAGAGAAAAACAAAAAAGAAGTGACCTACGGAAGGGCCGGCCGACGTCGCTCTTCCGTCGGGATGCGCGGCTTCGGGTTAAAGCGCTCCTTCCGTGTGGTGTTCTTGTGCCACTTGAACTCAGAGCGTGCTGATGCTTCCCCTGGCCGCATGATGCACGTTTCACTGGCGTCGCTAAGGTCGGAGTTGTCGTCGCTCAAACTGACCTGGTTCGTGTCTTTTGATTCCAGAGCTTGGATGGCCTCTACGTCTTTTGATATAGACATTTGGACGTCGCTCGATATGACAGGGCTGCTGCTCGACGCTTGCGCATGGTCGAATTTCATGGCGTCCCCCTCGGGCTGCAACTGTGGAGGGTGCACTTCTTTCAGTTCATCGACCGGGGCCTCTTTCGCACCGACTGTGGCGGAAACCTCAGTTTCGACGTCCCTTGCGGCCTCCTCTGCCTCTTCCTCGTCCATGTTGAGGACACCATCTCCATCCGCCACCACTTCCTGCGTCACTGTAGCGTAGGTACGGACGCAGTTGTCTCGTTCATGTCCAAAGCGATGGCATTCGTCGCATCGCGGTACGCGACACTCTCGTCGAATGTGTCCCGTACCTTTGCAGCGTAGACATAATGGATCACGTCCCGGAATCACGACCAGAACGTTGCCACCAGCAATCCTCAACTGGTGCGGAATGCGTTCTAAAGTGACGCCCTCCTTTAGGCTTAGCCGCACCAGTCTGGTCGTCGACTGGACGCCGATGAATCCTTCCGCCTTCCATTTTTCACGCGTCAGGTCCTGAACCTTCCCAAAGGGCTCTAGGGCCCTCCTGACGGTTTCGTCTGACGCGTGGAAGGGGAGCCAATGCAGTTTCATGCGGACGTCTGCGTTCTCCGGGTCCACAACGATGCAACGCTTGCCCTTTACCTCCAGTTCCTTGGCGGTGACCAGGCGCAGCTTGGCTTCCTCCGTCTTGAAGGTCACCATCCAGAGATGATTCATTTGATAGGCGCCGAGCGCCTCGATGTGCCCGATCACACCAAGACGTTCCATCTCGGCCCTGAAATCGCCTATCTTGTATGGACGAGCACTCACGTCACCGTGCAGCAGCACAGAGTTGCGCACAATGGCTCCTGATGGCAGAGGAGGCAGAACAATACGATAATCCGAGTTAGCCGAAGAAACAGATGAACCGCGGCCGGCGAGGGCCGTTATCGACGCTCCTGAGGAGCTCATGATTCTCCAACCGTAGTGCTCGGAAGCCGGAAGTAGAATGCACTACACCACTCCACCTTAGCTTTCTGGCGTTTCCTACCTGTCTTATTAATGCACAAGAAACAAAATGTGTCCAATCGGAGGTGTTCTGGAAACACACGCCGCCGCGTGGAACGCGGTACGACGCTTAGTGTCACGTGGTACGTGCTCGTTTGTGCTCCAGAAATCCTCCCACTGTTTGTCTCGCCCCGTGTACATGTAGTATTCTTTGTTTATGAGCTTTTAGAGACACGGTATCATCATCATCTGCGAGAATCAAGAGCCACGTTATTGAATATACAACACGGGCACTTCACGTCATCGTACGTGGTCTCCGAGGGGGATATAAACGAATATGTGCAGATGAATGAACCGTACTTAATCCAATGAATTAAAGAATCCAAGTTTTCAGGAACCCGCCGAAAGCCAAAAAAAAAAATATATATATATATATATAAAGTAATAAAGTCGCACTTCGAAACGTTGTTGGAGTTTTAAAGCATTTAGTGAGTCGACGTTTCGGCCTGAGACAGGCCTTCTTCAAGACTGGTTGCCAGAGTCGGTTACAAGGTTGTTTTCGGTTTCCCCACCCGGGCCACGTCACCTGTCAGATCACGTGTAAAAATGCCCAAGTAAAAGAGCCCAAGTGAAAAAACGCTGCTGTACTCCCCCCCACTCCACGCACGGCCGCAGCAGACGCCGCCAGCCATCGGAGCAAACCATAGGCCACGTCAGAATTCGTGACCCCAGGAACCTCACGTGCGGAAGGCGCAGTAACGTTCACATAGTTGGATCGGCCCAGATGGCCAGCAACGCACGCCGCGGAAAAACGCAAAGTCAAAAAAAAAAAAAAAAAAGGTGGGAGGAATGTAATAAGCGCACACAGTAAATAGGGCCGCCCACACTAGCGAGAAAACGCGCCCGGCGCGCCGATAAATCGGTTAAGCGGGAAGATAAAGGGCGTGTCTCTGCACGCGCTCGTGGCGCTGACTGTGCTTCGGCGCCATTTTGTTACTTGCCGCGATCGGCGTGCCACGCGCGTTTTCTCGCTAGTGTGGGCGGCCCTAATAACGCCAGACGCATAGAAAAAAACCCTACATAGAGAAAGAAAAGGTGAAATAAGCACACAGAGTAAATCAGTGCCAACGCGCATAGACAAAACACCTGCAATAAAAAAAAAAAAAAGGCGTACGCATTAAATTAGGCAAACGCTCGGCCGAAGAGCATAAACAAATCTACTGCAAAAAAATAAGAAAAAAAAAGCGTAAATATAACAGTGTTAACCACCGTCCCAGAACATTCAACAAGGAGCAACAGGTGAAAGATGCCTGTTGAAGGTCATGACCCGTTGACTCATCGACAGGTTATACAGAAAGGTACACGAAAAAATTAAAGGGTTGAACGAATGGAATTGAATTAGCTACAGTCACTCCGCTACAGGGGGATCAAGGTAGATTGCATGCATTGATGACATTATACCTGGATCTTCATTAATACCGGCCCGGATTGAATTAAATTTGTAAATAAGATACGATTCTCTCTGCTCGCGATCACGGTTGCTTTTGAAATTGGATTGTAATCCAATTTCAAAAGCAACCGGAGTGGGGGGGAGTACAGCAGCGTTTTTTCACTTGGGCTCTTTTACTTGGGCATTTTTACACGTGATCTGATAGGTGACGTGGCCCGGGTGGGGAAACCGAAAACAACCCTGTAACCAACTCTGGCAACCAGTCTTGAAGAAGGCCTGTCTCAGGCCGAAACGTCGACTCACTAAATGCTTTAAAACTCCAACAACGTTTCGAAGTGCGACTTTATTACTTTATAGTCTTCGGCATCCTACGCTATATTTTCTTTATCTCTCTGTCTCTATATATATATATATACCTCGGGGGTCAAATATCCCGAGGTGGCGTATTCACTCCAACGACGACTGCCCGCGTAGGTGGAAAGGAAGCAAGACGCGCATCCACCGTCGCTTATTGCGGTTCTCGGTCCCTTTTCCGAACAAGGGTGCATATTGGCCTGTCCCCACTCGCATGCCCGTAATCGTGAGAACCGATGAAAGCGGAAACCGTGGACCTCTTCATCTCGTGGTGCAGCGCTTCGCCTCCTTGTGCCACCTCATTCATCAGAACCAGGAAAAGATAGAACCCGAGCGGTTTCCTTGTCAGCGTGTAACTATGGTAGATCTCATTCATCAAAGTCCGGCAAAGAAAAGCTGCTGCATCATTCGTCTTCGCGAACTTATGCTTCGATTGAGGAAAAACAACCCCCACCATAGCATCGCTCTTTGTAACGTCCACGAGAAATTCCAGCACCATTCCTTTTGCACTTTTCCTAAACGGTCGGTTAGCGAGTGATTTCTTCCAACATTCTTTATCACACCCAAAAAGCGGGGAATCCCGGGGAAAAGCTCACCGGAGAAAAGCTCACCGGAGATAAGCTCACCGGAGAAAAGCTCACCGCTAAACCGGCGGATGCGGAGAAAACCTCACCGGCCATTGAGCGTATGCGGAAAAAAGCTCGCCGATTTTTTTTTTGTTCTATTTATATGGAGGCTGTTGGATCATGCGTAAATATATTAATTTATTATTATTAAAATTCGTCAACTTTGTTAAAAAGAAAATAAACTTTTTTTCTAATATTTGCTAAGCTTATTGTGTATACTGCTGCCAAAATAATAATTGCGGGCGAGTGTTTTCTTTGGCTTACTCTCTAGGCAACGAAAGCCTAACTAAAAACTTTATGAGCTTGAAGAACAGGAAAAAGTTCGAAAACTTACAGGGATTGTCCGGTCGAAACCGGAAGTACTTAAGTTCTGGCACTCGTTACGTCGAGGGAGCCTTCATGTAGACAAACGTAATTTTTATTTTGGTATATGATCTCCCGTTATTAATTATACCTTTCATGAGCCTATGTACGAAACTGCACCCCGAATACCGCCAGTGTCAATGGCTGACATCCGTGGGTGCTGCGTGACGTCACAAAACGCAAAGGTTTGTCGGATGGTCGGGATAAGAAGCGTTGGTCGATGGATGTCTTGTATTTTGTTTCGAATTATATAGTCTCCTAAGTTGCACCATACTTAAATACGGTTCTTTTAATGCAGTTCCCAAGCATGTGCAAAAAAGTCACGCCTTTTAGCAGGAAATTACCCGCAGACATATGTTTGCTCGAAGCATAAGCTTCGAGCAAACGTATGCCGTCTCGAGCAAACACAACTGCGTCCACAGATCGAACTAGGGGCGCCTGAAAAGCAAAGGATGCAGATTTAGCCCCTGAAGCGGCACCTAAGTACACGAAGCGGCATCTGGGCACACATGTCCGCGGATCCACTGGAACGGTGATGAGGCAGCGAATCGTTCCCTCAGAGGCGATGTCCACGGGTCGAAGACAAACGGCGGATCGTTCAAATGCATGTCGTCACCTGACTTGGGTTCGAACCCCATCCCTGCCCGTTTCGATCTGGATGAGCATCGTACCGGCGTGCGGTCGTGTATCACTACTGTGTGATGCACGTTAAAGGGGTAGGGCAACGAAATTTCAGCGCTCATTTTCTGGCTTTAATGTGTTGCATGTTGCACCCTAACCTCAAAAACACCAGTCTTCCGTTGAAAAGCACAAGAAAACTAATTTTAAAGCTAAATAAACGATCTTCAATGTGCACCTGGTGGATGCATGCGGAGCCTATTTGGGAGGTAGTCTAGCAACGTTGTGGAAACTGCTACGTAGTCGTGACGTAGCAGATTCCTTCGGAGCAGCGCCGCTCTTCGGCATTTCAACATTTTCCTTCTTAGCTTTCCTCTTCAACTCACAAGTCGCGCATTGTACCAAACGGTTCAAGAAGACGGAAAGGAAGGACTCCCGTCTTTCTCGGACCCTCGTTCGTGCAACCGGACATAGCCATTCTCCCCCTAGAAGATTAGCACGTCGCCCAAAACTCGAACAAAAGTTGCTTTCCCCACCTCGTTCAGCCCTAAGCTGACTGTGTTGTGGAAGCTACGTGCTCCTTGGGCCAGCCACACGCTCGTCACCCCACGGGCACGTCGAGCGGCTCGGTTGTAACGCGCTGACGCTATTGACACCATCACAACGCTGACAACGCCACCAAGGGCAAAGCTCATAACCACGCCTGCCTTGCTACTCCACGAACGCGGGAAATCTTTTCTTTCTGTTCTTGTTTGCGCCGAATATCCCATGACGCATCGCGCTCTCCGTTCGCTTCTCTTCGAGCGCTTGCTCGAGTGCACCGTTTGGAACGAAAAATATGGCCAATCGTTCAAAATACAAACGCGCGATTATCATTTACGGTTATTATACGTCATGCTTGACTCATTTCCGAACGAAATCTGAATATTTCAATTTTTGTTTCCGTACCGCTTTAAGGCTGCGGTACCACGGCGGCCATCTTGAACAAAACATTAGTTGAACCACCAGGGCGGCGTTGGCTGTCCGTATGAGCCAGAGCCATATTCGCAACTCCAGCAAAACGGACGCCGCCAAGCGGGAAAACCGGGAACCAGTCGGTCCAGGTCGCTCCCCGCCCCGCCGCGTCTCTGATGGCTTCCGCGGACACGTGCTGTCGGCGCGGGGGCAAGCAATGTAATTTGACGAAGGTCCGAAAATTTCTTAAGTTTGCCTGAGTGTTCATTAGTGTGGTGAAGACTCAGTATATTTTCTTTCCATCACGTGTTTGAAAGCCCGTTTACTCCACAACACACGGTCGCGTGCTTTCAATTTTTTGGATGGGGAGGAATCACGGAAAAACGTTTTGATTTCTTGTCTGTCTCTAATTACATCCAATGTGACGACTGCTTGGTAACTGATAACTGGTCTCTTTATAAGGATGTAGAACAGTGGACTGAGGTCGACAGACGAAGTGTTTCACTGGAGGGAACACCAATGTTGCAGTCAAGTGAATGGGAAGGTTCGATAGCTGCTTTTCTTGAATTTGGTTGTGCTCGATTAGCTTCAAGTTTAAGCCACTAACGCCGGCCGGTGCGTTGGCT